ACTCTTGTCTATGAAGTTATTCGGAAACCAAGTTGGCTGTGCAAACGGAGTTGGGAAAATGCCTCAAAATAGCCGGGCAATAATAATCGTTTGACTGCTTCTACGTACGAGTATATTGAAAATATTAATGGTATGGAATAATCAAGCCCTGATTTTAGTATTCCAACCGTTGCCTTCGTTCGAGTTGTCAAGTTTTAAGCGACTTTAACGTTCGACTTTGATTCAATTGCTGGCCCCGTCTGTCTCTCGGCCAAAGTGGCTAACCCAATTTGGAGATTTGGAGTGAAAAAGTAAAAGTTTATTTCATTTTAATTTGTGCTCGTCGTGTGTGTGCGTGTTCTATTAACTTATTGTTGTTTTGCCCTTGCTGGGAAAAAGTTTTCCAAACAAGAAAATAAACGAAAAAGAAACGAACTGCCACCAGCGAAGGACTGCGCACATGTGAGTATGAGCACATAGTACGAGCCAAATGCCAGGGAAATTAATTTGTGGCAATTAAAGCACACGAGGCACGAACAATTTTCCAAAGAACATCGCGGCAACGCTTAATGTAAATTCATTTAAAATTGCTTAGTCCCCGGGGGTGGCGCTTTCCACCCGCCCGCCAGGTGAAGTGCCGATAGTGAACTGTTTGCCCTCACATCACATCACATCACATCACATCCTGTGTGCTCATGTGTCTGTGTGTCGCGGCAATTTAATTAGCGAGCGCATAACTTTATGAAATATTCAGAGACTTTCCTTTCCCAGCGAAATATGCCAACCGCCCGGCGCCTGCAAGTTGTCCGTGTGTGCGTGGGTATGTGTGTGTGGCTGCTTTTGCCTGGGCAATTATGGGCCGCCCAGGACATTCATTAGAGCACCTCATAAAAATCAATTAGCGGCATGTTACAGGTCACCACGAAAATCCCCGGGGTCAAACTGGCTTGCAGCGTTGATTGCAGCTGGTCTTGAAGTCCAACAAGTTTGAAGGCAATATTAAAGATTTTCAATAATTTAGATCCTACATTTGATTGCTGAGATGCGAGTTCGAGTCGAGCTGGGCTATAAGAACCAGCAATTCATAAGGTTTACAATTCAGCAAATGGTGACGCACAAGCCAAACTTTGTGGGTGGTTGGGGGCGGGGGCTCGGATCAGGGGGTAAATATGAATGACGAATTACACACTTTAGCTGCCAGGTTGACAGCACCCACTCACACAGACACAGACACTCACTCACACACACGCTGAAGAACAGTGCAGAATAACACATTAAATTATGCTGACATGGCATAACGGACAGGGGGTGGGCGGAAAAGCGGGTGGCATGGGCGTGAAGATACGGAAAAAAGGGGCGGACAAAGTCAGCCACACAGTTAACGTCAAAACTAACACACGGCCCAGAGACGAAGAAAAGCCAGCCAAAAGCTGAAAAGCAAACCCGACGACGAACGTGAGCAAGGACGAAGCGAAGGGAAAGCCAACAATGACACTTGCGATAAAAAGTGAAAATTTCTAACATGGGAAATTTACATAAACTTAAAGTTCAATCTGCACCAATAGGTCTTTTTATTTAATAGTCATGGCAACATACATTTTATTTATACTTATTGTATTACCGCTTTGAATGTGTGCTGAAAAACTCTAGTGGCCATTAATACGTTACTACGTAGGAAGCAGCCAAGTTATTATTACTAATCGAACTTTTTATAAAGTGAAGAGAACAGAGATTTTTTTGAGTGGAAAAGTACAAAACGAATGGCGGCGAGTCCAAGGGACTCTGGCGAAAGACGCCGTGGGCAAATGAAGCGGACCCTGATGATGATGATGATTCGAGAGTGGCTTGTTAAAATTCCAGCAAAACGGCAGACAAAAAGTCAGCCACCCTCGCACAGTCAGGTCCTGTGGCCCTCCTGTGGAATGTGTGCTGCGTTGTTGTCAATGCAATAAAATGAAAATGAAATAAAATAGACAAAATGCTGCTTCTCTGCAAGGCAGAGAAGGACAGGAGTTTGCCTGGCCAGCACCAAAAATCCATCTCGACAGCCTCGAGGCCAAATACGGTTGGCAAAAAGTTGCCGAAATGGCCGAAAATGTAGACCTTCGAGATATAACGCTCATGTGGCACACAAACAAACTTGAGGTTCTGATCTGGACAATTGTAGGCAATCAAATGGGCTTTAATAAGAGTTATTTAGTTTACTTAAATACTTTAAACATAATTTTGTGCACATATACCCATTTTAGTGAAACAAAAAGGTTGGCTAACAATGTCTCCTCCACCATCTTAAATATTCCATCCAATATATTTTCTGTCGCACATTCCCATCCACTAAACCACCAGCCACCATCCTCCATCCGCCGCTCCTGACGTGCCACATGTGCCAGGGCAAGTCCGGCTAACAAAACTTAAATGCCATTAGCCTCGTCCTGGCACTCGACACTTGGGTCCTGCTCCTGCCACACGATTGAAGGGCATCCGAGCGAAGGGGATGGGTGGGGGCGGGGGAGGCTCCGGCAGAAGCGTGCCAGGTAACTAATACACACACTCGCTGGCAACTAAGCTACTGAACGTGCCCGAGGGCAGGGCACTCTTTTTTCGGAAGCCACACAGAAAAAATTAATTGTAAGAAATAGCGTGATTAAATTAGGGAGCAAGCCATAATTGGAATTGTCTCTAGGGAGCGGAAAATATATACAAATTGGTTTTCGGCTTGCAAAACACTTAAGTCGCTGTTAGAAAATAAATGTATACTAAAATTCAAGTCTTAAAAATCTATCATTACTACCAGATATTAGGGTTAAACATACCCAAATCCACTTAGTTATGCGTTAATTAATAATGCAACGATTTCTCCCGGTGTAGTGACATCTCCTCTTTTCCTCTCTATTTTTGCGTTTGGGACTGGAAGGCAAGGCAATTGAAATAACTTCTTCCGCTTGCCTGCGCTGCTTCCGCTGCTTGAATATGTCCCCCAAATCAGCCGGCAACACATTCCAACTGCCTCGTCCTTTGCTTCCCTCGCTCTCGCTCTAGCCTTCTTGCTGCCTCGCTCCCACCTCCCACTCCACTCCACCCCACGCCACCCATTGCCGCCCATCATCATCGCTGTGAATTGGCTTTGCTCTTGTTGCTCTTTGCCATTTATTTTATTTTCGACTTAAGTGATTTTGCCAGGCGCCTTGGCAACATGTTGCTGGGCACATTTATGAGCGCTCTCTCACTCTCTCTCTCTGGTGTTGCGATAGAAATTTGTCAAGTTGCAGTTGTGTGCGCGTATCTGTGTGAGTGCGAGTGGCAAATATCTTCGTGTCTCCTTTTGTTACTGCTGCTGCTGCTGCCGAGCGGCAATAAAAAACATTTAAGCACGCATCATTTTATTGAGCGCGCTGCTCGAATCTGACATTTCGACTGCGACGCCGACTGCGACTGCGACTGCGAAAAGTGGGTGGTAGTTGGTTGGCCGTCTGCTCAGTTTTTCCGAGTGTATGTCTATGTGTATGTGTATGTGGAAGTGTTGGGGTAAGTGTGCACTTTGTATTAATTTAAATTGCTTTTGGGAATGCCAGCCATGAGTTGTTACAACGCATAACGATGCATTCAAAATGCCAACAAATTAACTGCAAATTGTTTACTCAAAATTTAGCAAAGTGGATATACATTTCGGACAGCTGCAAATATTTGATTTGAAAATATTTTCACACAGTGATTTTCCAAATTCTTCAACTAGAATTATATATTCTACATGTAGAATATATAACACATAAAATACCTTAACACAAACCCTTTTTCCTATATCATATCAACTGAAGTACAACTAAATTAGTTGTACATACAATTTACACCCATTAAGGTTAAAGAACTCTTGACTCTCCTCGCAGAATTTACTGCTGAAATTTAAAAAATAATAATTTCCCATGTACATTTCACACGCTTTTGACTTAACGAATTAAGTTAAATTGTGTCACACTCAAATGTTGTGCCATAAATTTTCAGCAAGCACTTGCAAACACAAACGCACGCTCACTGTGACAAATGTACAAGGCTGTGCGACACCGCCCAGCACCCACCACCCACATCCCACCGCCCACTTGCCGCCCCCTGGATTCAGCACTTGAAAACGTATGTGCCGCCTAGTTGGATCCTTCCTCCAGCTCTATCTGCCTCTGTCCCTGTCGCTCGCTCCGCCCCTCTCTTTCGCAATGATTGTGCAACATTTTGTTATGCAAATCACAACGCAGTGCGCCAGGAAATAGGCTACGCCTGACCCACCCAACTCGCCTCAGCCCCAACCCACTGCAACTCAACCCAACTCACCCCAACTCAACCCAAGTCAGCCGAAGCCGAAGCCAAGGCTTGCCGGAGGGTTAAATAGGTTGAACTGCACTGAGAGCGAAAATGCTGCACACATACCTGCCACTTTATGATTCGAAAATAAGTAATCTTATCTAAATGCCAAGCAATTAAGATAAGCCTGAAATATATTACAAACCATCTTAGCCATGACAGCATTTTGTTTCTTAGTCACTGATTTCGCTTCAATTCTTCTTCACTTTAAATAATGTTAACTATATCATTAAATACGAGTATCTCAAGGTGCCAATTCAAATAGGTACTGAGAGCAACGCTTATATACTTATTCTAGAAAGACAAAATTCACAAAATGCACTGTAACTAATAGTGTTTTTTTGCCGTGCACATTGCGGCACAGGCAGCAAGTGGCAACGGACTGACGCTGTATTTTATTGCATTACTTTCGGGTCTCTGCTGCGGGGGCAGCTGAAAGGTGGGCGGGAGGTCAATGGGGGGGTGAAAGTAAGTGGAGGTCCGCTGCAAACGAAGCCTTTTGGCCTTCACGTCGAGGGCGGGCACAAATTACATTACCAGGCGCCAGTTGGCAGGCAGACCGTTAACAAGTTGACGACAAATGTGCAGCTGTTCGGGCTAATCTAAGTTTGCTCTCTCACTTTATCTCCATTTTTCAGTACTAACTTGCTCAACATTTTCCCCATTTGCAGGCAACGTGGCTCAAATGATGCCCGAAACTGAACGTGACGCACACTTGGAGGCAGCTGAAATGGCCAGCGGCGCCCTGGGCCACAATTACGGTGTTGTGAAGGATCAGCAACAGCAGCAGCAGCAGCAACTGCATCTCCTGCAGCAGCAGGCTCAACACCATCAGCATCAGCATCAACATCAGCAGCAGCACCAGCAATCCAACTCCGATCTGTACAAGATGGCCTGCAACGGCTACAACTACAGCAGTCCGCTGACCATACCGCCCACCTCGATGACCTCACACATGGTCAGTCCCATCAGCAACAGCAAGGAGAAGCTGGTGAATATGTTGCGCGTGCGTGACAACAACAACATGGCCAGCACGATCGCCGCCGATAGTCCACCCACCACGTTCCTGCAAAAGCAACTGGAGGCGGTTGTGGCGCCGCGGCCCAGTTCAGTGCATCCGCAGCAGCAGCAGCAGCCGCAGCAGCAAAGTGTCCAGCTGCAGCAGCAACGGCGTTCGGTCAGCACACCTGCGATTACAACCACACCTGGTCCGCCCACCAACTGGCACGCCCATGTCTATGATCGGTTGCCGCCACACCCGACGCCCCACTCCATAGCCGATATCCTGGGCATGTCCCTGATCAAAAAGGATCGGCCGGAGGGCGCCTTCGATCCCCAAGGACCGGCCAAGTCGCCGAACAGCATACTGAAGCCGTATCAGGATCAGCAGCCCATCCGCAGCTCCTCCATTTCGATGAGCGATGCCAGCGAGGAAGACAGTGCCGCTGTTGCAGGGGCAAGCTCCGCCGCAGCAGCCGCAGCAGCAGCAGCAGCAACTGCTGCAACTCCGCTCGATCAGCCGCTAAATCTGTGTGTGGCCAAGAAGTCCCGCGACAGCAACAACTCACCCATGCCGGCCACCAAACAGAGCCAAATCCTCGGAAAGTCCGCTACCAAGAAGGGTATGTATTAGACATAGCGTGTGCACAGAGAGAAAATACTACCATTGCCAACGTATTGGACAAATGCAGATACATCTAGGGCAACCAATTAGAGATGCCGAAAGTTAGTACTACAATCAAAGGGAATACCCTGAAAGTTCGAAAGTAGTTCTTCTCGAAATTGATTCAGCAGGCATAGCGCAAAATCTATAATCAATTTGGGTAGTATTTTTGAAAGTGTGTCTATTCTTGAAGCGATCTCGTTCCCATCTCCCGCCTATTGGCGCCCAGCATAGGTAGGATGTGTGTGCCGTGTAGCAACGCTCGACGAGCCTGCCAATTGAGCGGAGCGTGGAGCTCTCAACACGCTTCAGCGAAGCGTGCGGCGGGCAACACGGCGTATGCGTGTTCTGCCAACTTAAATGATGCCCGTCGGCATCTCTTGGCCCGCTCGGCGTCGCGGGCCCTTTCTTCGGCTGGGCTAATGGCCTGGTCATTAGAATTTGCCACACTCCAGTTCACTCGGCTCGTCTGTCAGCTACTCAATTTTCGAGGAATTTTATATGCCATTTACAGTTTAATTATGGTTTAAAAATGTATTGACCTGACAAATTTGGGCAACTGCAGGTGGGAGCTAAAAAGCAGCTCATTTTTAAAGTTCCAATTGGATATTTAAAACACATAGGAACTGCACTTATTTCCTTTTTTATTTAAATTTGCAAATTTTATTTAAGCGAGAACTCATGTTAATGCATTAACAAATCGTGCCAGAAAATGTTCAGTAAATACATTGTTTGCGTATACATGCAGGCCGCTCTTTTGCGATAATTAATAAACTATTGAAATTGTAATTGGTCAACAAAATGTGCAAAATTTAATTAGATGCACTTTTGGCTTATTGCTTTGTTATTTTTATTTCATATGTGAATCGGAAATGGCTGCCAATTTGAATATGCATTTGCATTGGGTGCATTAAAATGATTTAATTCGAAAGAGGCCAGCGCAATGGCACGAAAACATACGAAAATGCAATTAGCAACTGCGGCAGCCACAATGAAACAAACACAAAATGGCAATCGGTGGGCAAAAACAAGCAAAGTTGAGAACACAATTTGAATAATTTTGCTGCCGCTATTCGCTTGGCGCGTTAATTGCTCAATGTTGTGTGTGCTCCGTTTTTATTGTTATTAAAATCACGTACCAGACTTGGCGAAAACAACAGCCAAACGGCAAACCGATTGAATGACGAACTTCCAGACAAGCGATTGTTTGACATAGTCATCGGTTAATTTTCGCTTAATTACTTGTTTGCAGCTGCCATAAATGGAAGTGCCGTCAAATGGAGCGGGGCAAAAATTGGAGTTTTGCGTTCCGTTTTTTTTTTTGTTTTTTCATTTTGTTGCCCCCTTGGCATAACGACATTTAAATGCCCACCGTCGGCGACTGGGCCTAATGGAAATGACATGGAAATTGCCAATTGGCGTTAAGAGCCATGCGGCTACTGGCAAATATAAGCAAACATTTGTGCAAAGTTTTCTTTTTTTTGCATTTGTTTTTGCTTTTGTTCTGGTTTTATTGTTGTTGCTCTAATTGCACAAGTTGCGGGCTTTTAACGCCTGGCCAGCTTGTTGTTCCTTGTTGTTTTTCCGCTTTTGTTTTGCCATTTAGTTTTATTGATTTCGCGCCACTGGGGCGCCCTTTACACTCCACTGCCATCGTCTCTCATTTCCCTCAACGGGGTGCTGGGTTGCTCGACTCGATAGTGAAAATTGCCAATTGCCAATTGCCAATTGCCGTTTGCCAATGGCGACAATGGCACTGACGTCACCCCCGCCCCGCCTAATTAATCACAGTGTCATGCATATGAGGCCGCCGGGCCCACGCGGCGTATTAGCAATGCGACAAACGACAACAACGACAGAAGCACCAAACACCCATGCACCCCATACACCATACACCGTACACCATACACAGCTCGGCGATATCGAGCGTTTTGCATTTAACTGTCAATTAGATTTCAATTATGCATTGGTAATTGAAGTTGTCCAGGCAACGTTTCGTTCGACTCATGCCAGACACGTTTTGGCCCCGTCAAGTCCAAAAGCCGCGGCCAAAAGCATATGGCATTTATAGCACAGTTAACACTTGTTTTCGCCCGATATTGCAAGGCGGCCATTGGACAACGCAAGTGGCCAATAAATGCCCTGCAAGTGCTGCTTGATATATTGTGGGTATATTAAATTAAGATCTAGTTGAGTGAAGACTAAATTCCTGGTGTATTTATAAGTAACTTTACCACATCTCCTGTTAACATGTCATATGAATTATATGAGTTCATGAATGTTAAATAGTTTTCCTAGACAGTTTACCCTATATTCTGCTTAGTTGTCCCATAAGAAAACTAGCCCACCTAATCCAAGAGTAAAAAATCGAAGGCATAAGCAAAAGCTTATGGCAAATGGCGAATAAATGCATGCTGAAAAGCGCAGCAACAAGAAAGGGGAATCGAACAATGCATTACAAAAGGCAGTTGGCCCAGTCAATTGCTGCTACATTTGACGGGCTAATTGCAAAAGCGGTTATGAAATGACAGCCAAGAGACCCCATTGAAGTTAAACAGCTGCGATTCGATATAAAAGCCATTCAAACATGGCCAAGACAAATGTGCATACTCATAGCTGGCTAACCGTTTTGTTGTTTATCCCTGTTCTTCTCCATTGTTGTTGCAGAAAGCTCTGGCAAGCCGGCGGCCAAGAAAAAGAAGCTATCGCCCACGGCAGCGGCAACAGTGGCTTTACCACCGGATATCAGTCCAACGGGCAGCAGCGATAGTTTGATGCGGGACAAGTTGATGGCCACCAATAGCAGCTCGCCGGGCAGCAATGTGAATCCGCAGCTGCAGAGCAATGCGAACAGCACCTTGGAGACCACCGAGGACGACTCCGATTCCGGTTCCACGGATGCCCGGCGAAAGAAGAAGGCGCGCACCACATTCACCGGCAGACAGATCTTCGAGCTGGAGAAGATGTTCGAGAACAAGAAGTATCTCAGTGCCAGCGAGCGCACCGAAATGGCCAAGCTGCTGATGGTCACCGAAACGCAGGTAGGATTGCATTCTAGTACTAGACAGCAAAAAATAAAATAAATATATATTGAACCTAATATCTAGATCGTTCAGAATGATCATTCATTGAGTCATATAAACTAATTAACATCAAGATTATATCTAAATCATTCTGAGACGATATTATATACTGGATTACTCAATTTCCTCCCTCAAATTTCCATTTAAACATAAATCTTGACTGAACAAATTATAGGATTCCAAAAAGATTTTAATTGGAACTTTTCTCAAAATTATCTCATATTTCTATGCCATTGATTAAAATATTTCATATTGATTTTCCCCTCACTGATTTTCACTGCAAATTGCAGCTAGCGTACACATTGTTTTTGTGGGATTATTCGAATTATTTAGTGTCCCAATATTTTGTTGGTGAAATTTAGCTCAGAAAGCACAATCGCAATTGTGGCCATTTAACTAAATTAAACACTTTTTAAAACCCACTCAATAATCCCAGCCTAATGCGCATATTTAGCCATAAATGTTTTGTTGTCTGCTTCTGTGCGTATGCTTATAATATTTAATTTGCCTAATTTGCACGAGGAAATGAACACGCAAAAATAAAAATCATAATAAAATGATTTTATTTTCGATAGTACAGTAGTCTGCAGTAAAAACGGGCTACCAAAACATTATACTAATATATATTAGAAAAAAATATTTTGTAACTTAATAAGGCAACTTAAAATAGGATTACTATTTTGTGCTTTTATTTTTGATGACACAATTTACAATAATGAAATTATTTTTAGCATTCATTCATTCACTTTGGCGCCGGCTGTAGCAGTGGAAAATAATAATGAGCCAAATGAAAAGCATAATTTGATCATCATTCTGGCAAAAATAGGCATTTTTCGATTTTCCACTGGCCGCATTAGTTTAATCCGCTATTTATTTACCCAACTCGAATCACCCGGGAGCCATGAAATATATCGTAATTTAATTGAAGAGCATAACAAGAGGAAGCAAGGTGTGATGCTGCTTAATGCCTCAGTAATTATTATGCCAAATTGTATTTCGTTGCACTTGCACTTGCAGCAGCTGCCCGAACATGTGATTTTGTGGGGCATAGAGGGATTTATTTTCGAGGGGCGATGGCAGGACAAGTTTACAATTCGCATGGCAGCCAGAAATGCCTTTAAGCACAAGCAAACTCACACTCAAGTGCACACAAGCACACACACACACACACACACACGCACACAGAGTTTGCCTGATTGTGAAATAAATTGAGATTTATTGACTAATTAGAATAAATTAACTTTGCAGCAAGGACATGCCCAGGGCCCAACTGCTGTCAGCCAATTAAGGGCAACAACAAAATTTATGAACAAACACACCCACATGACTGCCATCTGTGTGCTTGGCTCTTTAAGAGGCGCTGAATTAATCAAAACTTTAATATCATTCCTGAACCCTTTGCGGTTTCTGTCCCAAACAGGCTATTTGGCCAACCGCTCAAGTCGTTTGTTATCTGCACTTGCAGCTGACAGTGCGGACTTTAACTACCAAAGGTTTAACCAGGACCTTAAGGCCTCCGCTGCTCAATGAAAATGTTTGGTCTTGATCTATAAATCGCTGTAATTAAGCACTTAGGGCTCACCTTGGCAAAAGTATTTAGTGAAATGTTGCAATAAGAGCAAATGAGCATATATTTACACCATTATATCCCTGAATTATACCGCTACATTCCATGTCCTCGTCAATCCCTGCAAAGCTGTCAAAACTTGGGCCTGTCAATGCAAACCCGATTTGCATTAATAATCTCACATTACGCATACGCCGTGTGGGAGCTCAAATGCCATAAGACTAATTGGCTGCCATGGCAAAAGACCCAGTCAGATAAACACTCACACACACACACACAGAAGGCAAAGAGAAAATGAGGAATGTATAGATGTTGATGTAGATGGAAGCCAAGCAAATTGGCCATGGCAACAACAAGGATGTGGCAGTGGAGTCACATTGAAATGCTTGCTTAATTAAATTACATTCTCCATCAAGTCAATTAATTACAAGTTGATATACACATATAAACACTGAGGATTCTGCAACGTGTGCGTGTGTACACTGGACAAAATAATAGATGGCCGGCTTAAAAGTAAACATATATGGCCAATATATGGTGTATATTTTCGGTCAGTGCTTTGTGTTTGATGTTCAACTGTCCATGTGAGCCAAAATGTTATGCATGTCGACATGTTCAAGTGTTTTGTCTACGTTATTAATATTATAAGCTCGGTCCAGTCATTTATCATCCTGGCAAAGGACACGTCTACGTGTGTGTGTGTGTGTGTGTGTGTGTGTGTGTGTGTGTGTGTGTGTGTGTGTGCGTGAGAAACCAACGTCAATTCAAGTGCAATGCACAGATTTCCACGCTCACATTCTGCGCGCAGAATGTTGTGTTTATATATAAAACACTGTCGGGGCACATAAACATGTATGTGTTAATCACAGCAATAATATCAGCAAATTAACTGCAGGACACGGCTTTCTGTGTGTGTGTGTGTGCTAGCTATCCCGTGTTTGCGCGTGTGTGTGTGTCGTGCATTTGTATGTGGGTATCCTGCTGTGGCCGGACATTAAGCCTTTTGGCCATTTGCATTGGCACTTGCCAATTTTCCCATCGACCCACCCATCACACTGGATCAAGTTTGCAGCGAGAGATTTGCGTTAATTGGAATCAAATTACCAACTCCTCCCGTAATTGGCAACCAGTTCAATTGCAGTTTAAAACTTATAATTATACGACGGATAATCGGATCAAGGTTTTGCCGACTTTCTTCGGAATTTATTTACCTAGTCATTTTTAAGCAGTGCCTTGAGTTGCTCTTTTCCATGGAATCGCACGTTATGCTACCGATTTTATCACCATATTCGTTATTTAAATATGGCAACTGAATAAGATATTTCAGAGAAACATCTAATAAAATAGAATATTTATTAAGGACATAATTTGCTTCCAGTTTGAAAATACAACTTCTCAAATGTAATCATAAAACAAGGTATAATTCTATAGTTCCCCGACTATCAGATACCCGTTACTCAGCTGGTGAAAGTGCAAACGAGAAATGTCAATAATTTCTGGAATATCGGTAGAAATGGGGGAAAAAATATAAATGCAGTTTTTTAGAGAATTGCGCCAGAAACAATTAGAGGTATGCCACTTCAAAATCCGATAAAGATAAGTTGAGTTATGGTGTTAAGAACTTCAGCCTTGGGACATTTCTTAATTTTTTGAATTTGTACATAATACATCATAAAAATTACAAAAAAAATTAAAAATTCGGCTAAACTTCTGCTCAAGAATATATATACTTGAAATGGTCGGAAATTCTTCCTTCTGCCTGTTACATACTTCTCAACGAATCTAGTATACCCTTTTACTCTACGAGTAACGAGTAGAACAAATGAAAAGCCAGAGACAAAGTGAGAGTCATAAAATTGGCTTTAAATAGACCTCCACATCGGCCATAATGTGGTTCTCAAATGGCTTGCCCTCTGGACTGGTGGAGATGCGGATGTGGATGAGATGAGTTGAGTTGAGGTGGCTGCCATTGGCACCACCAATGGTGGTGCATCTCTCCACGTTGCATGCCTCATCTGCATCGTCTGTCATCAACAAACTGTAAAATAGCCTTAAGCCAGATAAAAATCAATTAATTACGCGTGGATGCGGCTGTCCCAACTGCAACCGCTGCACCACCACCACCACCACCCCCTCTTTCCCCTGCGGCACACACACTCACACTCACCCACACTGATGCAAACTGACAACATTGTAATTGTGTTGCGATTACCAAACGAACGTCACGCGCCAAACTCAGCAAATTACATTTGCATATTAGTGCCAGCGGCGGGGAGAGAGGATGGGGTGGTGCGGTAAAACGAGGAGCCTTGGGGTGGTGCAGTGGGTGGTGCGCTGGGTGGTACTGGGGGGTGGTGCGCCGTAATGCCGCAGTCATAGCATAGGGGCGTGTGCTGGCAACTGTTCGCTTGCGGTCTGCACTGCAACTGTCTCGACAATTTGCATTAGGCATTTCATTTTAAATGTTTGCCAGCGCTCGCTCATAAACGCGAATGTAATTGCCACTCAGGTGCGACCTAAATGCTGATTTGCTCTTCGTCAAGCCAGTTTTTTGTATTGATTCTGATTGCAGCGCGATCGGGTCAGAGATTAATGGTATGGGATGGTATGTTGGGCCAATTAAACGGGTTAGTAGCGCAAGTGATGCTAAAAATGTGCTAAGAAATATGCCAGCTATTTTTTTTTAATTTTTTATATTGTATAAGCTTACTTCTGAAATGCTTTCTATGAACTGCCAGCCCAGAGTACGCAAAACTCCTGGGCAGCTTTGACCTCGTATCTACATGTGCCCATTTGTTTGCATTTATATGGTCAATTGCATGGTCGGTGGATGGCCCTAGCGATTGTGGGCCAGAAAACAAGCACCGGTAGCAGCAGCAGTTTCACTGGCAGTTGGCCAAATGACAAATGCGATAATTAAATTAAACTGCTGCCACAAGCAGCACAAACAAATCAAATGGCAATTCATCTTTGAGGGCACCACATAATGGTGACCCAACTAGCGCAATGTGTTTTTGGAGTTTCGAGTTCCCAGTATCATCGGGCGTATTTACATTCGCAGTCTGTTTGTGGCACAGCAAAAAGGGTAAAAAATTATGCTGCGTTAAATTAAATTGCATGTGTGTGCGATGTAAACAAGGACATTGCAGCTGGAGGTTATATTGCTCTCGTCCTTTATTATTGTTAATATTGCCATTGATATCAATCACTTGCAGCAGGCAAAGGAATGCTGAATGCATTTCACAGATAATTCTGCCATTTGCAAATTATGTAACAAATGGTTGGCAATCAAATAAATTAAAAACAAAAAATAGTTTCTTAAATGGGTGGTCTTTACTAAATAAAAGTGGCTATTTATTGCTTTAGGTAAACTGATATGGAATACCATTTA